GAAGTGAGAGGACTTAAAACATTTACTGATGAAGACTATAAAGAGTACAGCCTTTGGTATGGATTATATCTCAATGTAAAGAAAACAAAAATAGTGTTCCAATTTATCCCCTATACAGTGGAGGACTTTTGGTGTGATGCTGTTGGATCAGCACTGGACTGTGAACCAAAAAGTTGGCAGTTCAAACCCACCAGCTGCTTCTCAGAAACCCTATATGGGGTCACTATGAGTTTTAACCGGCTCTGTGGCACTTAACAACAACATACAATAGATACTGTTTTGGTAACTATTATGTGCCAGTCACTGTGATTGGCAGTGGGAATACCAGGATGATAAGACAATATGCCTGACCTCTAGTAGCTTAGAGCTTAGTTGCTGAAATACATACTTTTTTTTTTTTTTTTTTACCAAGTCTGTATATTTTTGTTATCTTTTGACAGAAAGTTAATTTAGCTAGTTAAGGTGCGGAGTATGAGATTATCTGCTTCTCTGGATAAGCAAAAGACCATATTTCTTTCTTTCTTTCTTTTTTTTAATGACAACATTCATGAATATTTTTATCTCAATTAGAAAAAATATATTATTTTTTCTTCTTAGACTTACCCATAGAAATGTGAACTCAATAGAGATTTATCCTGGAGATGGATCTATTTTCAAATCAGAAGGAGTTTATTTTGGGAACTATTTTACATATTATCCCATCCAAGAAGGATCAGAAGAGGTAAGCTTACAAGGAGGTCTCAACTCAGTAAGATTTTTGATATATGTTGTTTTTGTGTGCCTTGGAGTTGGTTCTGACTCATAGCGACCCTGTACAGGGTTTCTGAGGCTGTATATCTTTATAGATGTTTCTAAATCATTCTGAATATATTTCAGGAAATTTGATCTTTATATATAAACATTGTTTGCTATCCCCCTAGTGCAGCACTAGCCCAGTAATTATTGATAATCTTATTTTCCCTGTGTCTTAGTTATCTAATTCTGCTATAACAGAAATAGGACAAGTGAATGGCTTTAGCAACCAGCAATTTATTCTCTAATTTTAGTAGACTAGAAGTACAAATTTTGATTGCAGGCTTTTGGGGAAGACTTTGTTAATTCTGGGGAAAGGTCCTGTGTCCTTTCAGCATCTGGAGACCCAATGTTTCTTGGCTATCTCCATACATCTTGGCATCAATATTTTCCTGGATCTATGAGCTTTACAGTGCAAGGTCCAGATATATTCTACTCTCGGCTCATCTATCTTAGTGACAATAGATCCCTCTGAGCTCAGCTTACTTCTCTCTCCTTTTATATCATGAAAGATTTATTCAGGATACAACCTAATCCTGTAAATTGCACATCAAATCGTATCTTGGGGTTGATTGTATTATGTTAGATCTCATCATAGAGATGATAACTACATTTTTTTTTTTTTAACTTTTTTACTGTTAATTGAGTGAATGTTTACAGACAAGATCATCAGTTTTACATTCAATAAATAAGGCACTGTTTCATGTCAATGATTGTAATGCCCTCCATCCATCAACAGTTATTCCACATCCATTTACCTTCTCATCCTTTTTCAACTTTGTCCCTAGGTAAGTGTTGCCCTTTTGATTTTGAATGATTGACCATTCCATGGTGAGCATAATTTACTAGTGTTGATGTCCTCCCTATATACCTATCTACTGCTAGGCTTAAAATTGGACCATGAGGTTGAGTTCCTTTCCATACCTGAAGGGTGATTGAGGGCCACAGGCTCAGGTTCTTCTGGTCCCTTTCTGACCAGTAAGCCCCATCTTGTTATAATAATTTTGAATTTTGTTCCATACTTTCTCCCACTCTGCCTGGGTCCTTCTAATGTGATTGGTCCCATTCAGAGATGTTGGTAGTAGTAACCAGGCACCATCTAGTTCTTCTGGTCTCAAAGTCACGGAGCTTGATATTCATATGTTCCATTAGTCCATTGGATTAATTGATTACAAGCATCTTCAATTCTCATCATTCTTCTTTCCTCTGCACATGGAGAGACCAAAATTACCCCTTAGATGGCCACTTATGAGCTTTTAAGATTGCAGCCAGTACTCAGCAATATAGGTGTGGAACATTATCTTTGTGGATTATGTTACGCCATTATGAGACTAGTGTCCTGGGGCCCTCCTAACCTAGCAATTCATTGCCTTAAGATATTTGATACTGTCTAAGAAATTTTCTCATTTTGCAGTTGTATGATCCGTCACATTGATACTTGTGTTTGTAGTGAAGCTAAATACCCATGTATAGATATCCTCTTTCAAACCCTTATGTATTTGTGGGTATACCCCATTCTTCCTCCCACACCCATTCAGCCTGAGTATCTGTCCATGTATCCACCTGCAGAACACTGTTGTTCCAAGGGACGTCTTAACTGCTAAACTACTGAGAATCCTGACTCAGCCAAGTTACCACAAAACCATATCTATCACACGCTGTATTCTCACACTACCATCCATTTGCCTAAGCAGTTTATAAACAAGAAGCTGAGACCAGTGATACTGCTTTGCTTTAATATACTACTTTGAATTACAATGTTTTTAATATTTACATAGGAAAAAGCATACTTTTTTTCCCCCTTATCATGTAAACATTGATTGTGGCATTGTTTGTAATAGCAAAAAACTGGAAATGTTCATCAGTTTGGAAATGGTGAAATAAACTATTGTATTACGAATAATAGAGATGTTGTGAAGCAGATATAAATTATGACAGTATAGATGAATGGAAAAGTAGATGTTGAGAGATATTCAAGGCCTATTATAGAGTGATAAAAGAAAGCTGCATAAGAGCATGTACAGTTACTCTAGAGAGATATAAACCTAGGGCGAATGTGGAAGGTTGTTCAAAATGCTGTAGCTGGACACACTGGACCAAAAGTGGAATGTTGGGGTAATGTCCAGAGATGATACTGAATGGATAAACAGGGCTCACTAGTATATGAGACATAAGAAACTGTTACATTTGAGGAGTTACTGAAAAATATGAATTAGGAAAATGGCAAAAGAATTGTTTTAGATTATTTCAGATGAAGGTGAAATGTGTAGAGGGACAAGTTCACACTTCCAGCTGTAGAACCAGCTAGAAGATGCTTATAGTAGTTTAGGGGAGAGATCATGAAGCTTAGGCCGTGGAGTGAAAATAGAAGGACACAGTGATTAGATATTGATAATAAGGAAAAAGGAGTTGGAAGATAATGCCCAATTATTGATTAAACCAGTTAATGGTGGTGGCGCAATGAATGGTGGTACATGGTTTTACTAAACCAAATTTTATTGAATCTGAGTTTTTTGTTTTTGTTTTTTAATGTTTTATTGTGAATTATGTGATAGTTTACATGGGAGAACATTAGATTTACATTCATCTTATCATATATCATTTCATTGCCATGGTTACAATCCTCTCCATGCATCCTCAACCAACCAAATGGTATTCCCTACAAGCCTGCCCCCCAGTCATCAGCACACAGCCCCTCTCTGGGTCTAAAGTCCCTAGCTGCTCCATCTCTCCACGTCATCGTCTCTGCCTCCATCTCAGGCATCACTGCTTATCTGGGTAGGGTCCTGCTCTCTGCTCTTCTCCCTTGATGGTCCCAGGGACCTCCACTCCTAGACTGAAAAGTTAATCACTCCCCTCCTTGCTACAAAACGTCTATGTTTACATTTCCAACCCTCACAATCAGTCCTGATAACAATTATTCACTATTGTACCATAAGAGACCTGTCCACATTTCCTTTCATCGGCCCGCCTAGACAGATTGGATACTACTCACTGGAGATTCTACATTCCTCCAGGCCCTCTGGATCTAGGTTCCCTCTTGAAAGCTTGTAAGTCAGTCACTTCTTGTCTTTGTAGCCCCCCTCCCCCATTTTGGGTAGCCAATGTCCTAGTTGTCCATCCCTGTCTACTCTGTGTATGGAGGGGGTGGGAATGATCCTTGCTGTAAAGATTGAATCTGAGTTTTGATGATATTTGTTTTAAACATTTTTTACTTGGAGGTATCAGTGGTGGTGGTGCCATGCCTTGCAGTCAATTCTGACCCATAGCGACTCTGTACAGGGTTTCCAAGGCTGAAAATCTTATCTTTCTCCCACGGAACAGCTGGTCGTTTCGAACTGCTGACCTTGAGATTAGCAGCCTGACTGGGTAGATGTTAATTCAACTTTGTCTCAGAATTATCTGATAGCAATTATAAGGCACTCTTAAGATACGTATCCAGATTTCAGAGAGGTTAAATTGTAAAAAATAGGTAGTTCAGAATGATGCAATAAAGTAGTAGGAAGGACCCTACTACTCAGTATCCAGTAGAGAAAATAATTAAAATGTAATATTCAGCAAATATTTTGAATGCCTGCTATATGCTAAGTACCCTGCTAATAAATGCTGAGGATACAGAGGTAGTAAAACATATAGCCCCTGCCTTCATGGAGCTTCATTCTAGCAGGAGATAAACATGAACTACACTATTTAACTGAAATTGTGATAAAGACCAACAGGAACAGAGGGTATTGTACTTGTGGATTCTGGCTCATGACAACCTTAGGATAGATTAAAACTGCTATCTTAGGAGCTTTATATATGTATTATGTAATTGATTCTGCAGGACAACCTGGAGGATGGTAGTGTCCCCATTTCACAGACACTGAGACTTTTGAAAGGTACTGTAATCGAACTGGCATTGTAGTCATGCCTACAAATCTAGATTTGTCTGATTTCAAAGCCCATCTTTTTTCACTGATGGTAAATAATATGTGCTAGAGTGTCCTACTGTGGTTTAAATTATATCTCTACTACTTAGTCCTGATGTGGCACTGTAGGATAAGCACTGGATCACAAGGTCAGTGGTTCAAACTCACCAACTTCTCGGTAGAAACCCTATACAGGATCTCCATGAATAGAAACCAACTTGACGTCTACTTAATGCTCAATCTCAGTTCCCTCCCTCAAAAAGGTTTCATCTTTCAGAGGTATTTTGAAAAGTAAATGATATAATCCATGTAAAATGCATAGCACGGTGTCTAGCACATAGTTGTTGTTGTTGTTTAGTGCTATTGGGTCGATTCTGACCCATAGCAACCCTGTGTAGGGTTTCTAAGGAGCAGCTGATGACCTTGAACCACTGACCTTGCAGTTCAAACAAACTTTGCAGTCTGACACATTAGTCCACATCGCCACACCAGGACTCCAAGCACATAGTATCTGCTCAATAAATGTTAGTTATATAGGGTTTCCCTGGAGCAGCTGGTAAGTTTGAACTATGCTGAGACCAGAGTCCTGAAGGACATCGGTGGAGAGACGTCCAAGGGTCAGCCAGATACAGACGACAGGCCTGACAGTGAGCGGTAGTTCAAACTGACTTTGTGGTCCAGTGCTTCTACTACAGCACCACACCAGGTTGCCTAACAACAATAACAATGATGTGGCAGCATAGGATAAGCACTCGACTGCAAGGTCAGTTTGAACCGCAATGTCGGCAGTTCAAAATCACCAGCAGTTCCTCAGAAACTCTATACAAGGTTTCTATGGGTTGGAACCAACTCGACAGCACTTAACAACAATGCTATTATATTTCTTATGAACACAACTTTGGCCCCTGTTTGGGTCACCCAAGAGTGAAATGGGAAATCAGAGCCAAAAAAGACTTGAGATAGAGCCCAAGGAAACATTTGGATTAAAATGTCTGAGGAAGAGGAAATTAAGAAGAAATGCTAAAGTAACTTTTTTTAAAATATAAGAACTTGAATTCCACAAACTGTTAGCAATGTCCTCCATTTAATAAAATACAACATAATGATGTATTCATTCCATTAAAAATTGTTATTTTTGTTAAATCTGTAAAGCCAATTATGTTATCAAAAGAGGATTTATGTGGTAAGTATAAAGCCCTTGGGTAGTGACAACAGTTTGTGCTGACTGCCCACTGAAAGGTTGGCATTCATTACAGACAACAAATGTTGTCATTGGTTCATCAGCACTACAGATTTGTAACTGTAAGAACAGTTCTTTTTACATTCACGACATGTGAATACAGCAGTCTGGGTTCCACATGTCTTAGTCAATTGATGCTCTCTGATGGCTTCTTTGGTCAGGATTTTCCCACATCTCTTTGAGTTCATCACTTGTCATTCTAGTAAGTTAAGTCATGAAGAATGCCCCACACAGTATACTTTTTCTTAAATTTGGATTCTTTGCATCTTCAAGATTTGATTTAGTACTTCTTACTCTATTTTTGTATTTTATGTCTGTATTCCTTAATTCTTGATATATAGCTTCCTCAATCTGAGATCTTAACACTTCCTTATCTGTTCCAATAGCAACATAGTCGTCTTCTGTTTGAAGACCTCCAGCAAGCATCTCTCTACACTTCAGCTGTACAGAATCTGAAGTGCTTGGAACCCTAGGAAAAGATGAAACAAGAGTGTCTCAAACATTTGTCTCAACCTTTCTGCTGCCTTGTTGCCACTGGAACTACTTTCTTCTCTTGCTTCAAGGCTATTCTGCTATGTAATTGCAGGTTCTTTTTTCTTTTCTTCAGTCTTTATCAGTTGGCCCATTTAATAACTTTTTCCAGGATTTGATGAAAGACTTTGCTAACTTCTTCATCTGTGCTCTGCTTGTGAATAGCATTAATTACATTCCAGTTGTTGTGCATTGTAATAACTCCAGGGTCATGGGAATAGTCTTAAGCTCCTTCAGCAAATCTAGTGCTCCAACGCATGCTTCTTCTGTAACATCTTGTCCATTTTCTTGGCAGTGTGCACCACCTTGTCCTCTATGACTGTAGCAGATCTTTCCCGTGCCTACCCTGACTGGGATGTAAAGCGGGCAAAAGTGCGGCAGAGGGAATGTCAAGAGCCCACACAGCAGGCCCGGCTGGGCCTGGGTCCTTCGCTATCAGAGCTGTGGCTGTGATGGCGGCCATATTAGCAGCACCTTCTCTGCCCACAGCACCACTTCCATTATCTTTTCACTTCATATTTCCATGAACTTTTGAAACACCCTCATATGTAGGTTTTATGGGCTTTTTTGTTGTTGTTGTTAAGTGCCATCGAGTCGGTTCCGACCCATAGCGACCCTATACAGGGTTTCCGAGGGTGTAAATCTTTACGGGAGTAGAAAGCCTCATCTTTCTCCCGCGGAGCGGCTGGTAGTTTCGAACTGCTGGCCTTAAGGTTCGCAGCCCGATTCGTAACCACTACGCTACCAGAGCTCCTTTGGGCTTTAGGCTAAGTTAAAATAACTGCTTGCCTTTCATTATTTAAATGTATATTTTAAGAAAAATTTCTTAAATACTAATGGTCAAAATTAATTATTAATAAGATTTTCATTTAAAACTAATTTTCAGAGGAAAGAGAAGACCTATTCAATCAATAACCTTCCTCCAGATAGACCAGGAAGTCCATTCTCTATTTGTTCTCTACTTAAAGAAGCTACAAAGTAAGTTATTTACATTCATCTAAATTAAGTGCTAGTTGCCTGAATATTTTGATACATTGTCTACTGTTTAGGGATAAGGTAAAATTTGATAGAAATACATGTTTTGATAAAATCTGTCAACTTTTTTGGGTCTCAAATTTCATTATTTTATAAAACAAGGTAATTTCTATATCACTAATTAGAGTACTTTTGGCTTTTAAATTTATATTTGGAGACACAGCTATATATGGAGAGCAAATACTAGTAGGAAATAAGTACCTTTTCTCTAGTTAAATGTGACATCATTAGTAAACTTTCAAATTCAATTGGAGATTTGATGATATATTTTAAATTTTATACATCTTTACATCAGAGTACTATAAATGTTTTTTGAGAGTGTACAAAAGATGTTTGAGTTAATATCTTTTGCTCCTCTTAATTAATCTGTGGCACCTAGACTGATGAATGTAGGTAGATGGATTGTTTATTTTTATAATTTATGTTTAAGTGGCTTTTATAGTACAACTGTAGAGCAGAGTACATAAGTGATTTTTGAGAGACAGTTGATTCACATCACCACCACCTGGTGGTTGTTGTTAAGTGCCATTGAATCGGTTCTAACTCATAGCAACCCTGTATAAGGTTAAATGTCACTAAGGAGCAGCTAGTGAGTTTGAATTGTTGACTTTGTGGTTAGCAGGCCAGTGCTTATCCTACAGTGCTACACCAGGACTCCACCACCACTTTAGGCAATGCTAAACCTGTCAGGCATGTGAATGTATCATCTCTTGAAAAGAAACAAGTGAAAATTCTCTTCATTTAGAATCATTTCTTTGCTAAAAATTAGAATAGCAGCTTAAATATGTGAGATTAACACAAAGGGAAGCAATAGTAGTTCCCTTCTAGAGGCTGAGGAATTTCTAGAACGAAAGACGACCAAAAAAAAGAAGTTAGTGGGAATAAGTTACTTGCGATCTAAAATATTATATGACATTGAAAATGGGTTGCCAGACTGGAAAATACCATTATTTGCAAATGGTTAAGTGGTGTTTTTCATGTTTACAGAATTCTTCAACATTGTGCCAACATAAGACTTTCTTTAAGCCATAACTATCGTATATGCTGCTGGAAAATGGTATGTTAAAATTGTTTCAAAAGTAAGATTTTAAAAATTACATCATTTGTACATAGTACAGACTTATCATTTTACAGTTTTCATCTAAGTCATATAAGAAACCCTTGGTAACATTGATTTTGGATTATTCATAAAAATAGAAGAACATTTCATCATCACAGGCTTCTATATCACAATTTTGTTACACCTAATTGTTTTTCTTTTTCTTTTTTATGTAATGAGGTGGGAAGAAGGAGGATTGATTTGTCAGGTTTTTCTTATGTTATAGTTAGGTGCAATCAAATCACTTCCAACTCATAGAAACCCTACATACGATATTGCCCAGTCTGGTGCCATCCTCATAATTACTATGTGTTGCAACCATTGTGTCAATTCATCTCATTGAGGATCTTCCTTTTGTAAATCCTCTACTTTCACAACTATAATGAGCTCTGGTAGCATAGTGGTTATGAGTTACTAACCCCCAGGTCAGCAGTTCGAAACTACCAGCTGTTCCTGCTGGAGAAAGATGAGTCTTGATCATATGCTTCCTCCTGAAATGGTTAAACATTGCCTAACGCTTTTGGTACAGTGAGACCGTGTATTCTTCTTTTGATGCATTTTAGGTCATGCAGTATTTTGTCTATGTTGTTGTTAGGTGCCATCGAGTTGGTACCGACTCATAGCGACCCTATATACAACAGAACGGAACACTGTCCGGTCCTGGGCCAACCTTACAATTGTTGCCACGCTTGAGCCCATTGATCCTGCCACTTTGCCAATCCATCTTGCTGGGGGTCTTCCTCTTTTTCTCTGACCCTCCACTGTATCAAACATGGTATTCTTCTCCAGCCACTGGTCCCTCTTGACAATATGAGTGAAGCATGAGAGAAAATATTTGGCCATTCTGGCCTCCAAGGAGCACTCTGGCTGCACTTATCCCAACACAAATTTGTTCTTTTGGCAGCCCATGGTACTTTCAATATTCTCCTCCAACACCATAACTCAAATGCATCAGTTCTTCTATGGTCTTCCTTATTCACTGTCCATCTTTCACATGAATATGAGGTTCTTGAAAATACCATGGCTTGGGTTAGGTGCACCTTAGTCCTCAAGCTGACATCTTTGCTCTTCAACACTTTAAAAAGGTCTTGTGCAGCAGATTTGCCAATGCAATATGTCATTTGATTTCCTGGCTGCTGCTTTCATGAGTGTTGGTTGATCCAAAAGAATGAAGTCCTTGACAACTTCAATCTTTTCTCCATTGATAAGAATGTTGTTTATTGGTCCAGTGGTGAGGATTTTTGTTTTGTTTACATTAAGAAGGCTGTGGTCTTCATCAGTATTTTGCCTATAGAATACTTCAATATTGCAATTTGAGGCTTGAATTTTTTCTTCAGTTCTTTCAGCTTGAGAAATGCTTAGTGTGTACTTCCCTTTTTGTTTTCTAACTCCCAGTTTTTGCACATTTCATTATAGTACTTGTGTCTTCTCCAGCCACCCTTTGAATATTTTTTTCAACTCTTTTACCTCATAATTTCTTCCAATCACTTTAGTTTCTCTACATTCAGGAGCAAGTTTCAGAATCTCTTCTGACTTCCATTTTTGTCTTTTCTTTCTTTTAAATGACCTTTTGCTTTCTTAATGTATGATGTCCTTGGTGTCATCCCACATATCATTTGGTCTTCAATCATTAGTGTTCAATTAGTGTTATTGAGGTGGTCTCTAAGTGCAGGTGGGATATACTTGAGGTTGTACTTTGACTCTTGGGGACTTATTTTAATTGTCTTTAGGATCAGCTTAAATTTGCATATGAGCAATTGATAGTGTGCTCTGTCTGCTGTCAGCCCCTGGCCTTATTTCGATTGATGATTATTGAACTTCTCATTTGTCTTTTTCCACAGATGTAGTTGATTTATTTCCTGTGCATTTTGGCTGGCAAGCTCCACTTGTATAGTCACTGTTTATGTTGTTGAAAAAAGTTATTTCTAATGAATAAGTCACTGGTCTTGCTAAGTTCTATCATGCGATCTCCCGTGTTGTTTCCATCATCACTGCCCTATTTTCCAACTACTGGTCCTTGCTTTGTTGTTTCCAGTTTTTACACCCAATCACCAGTAATTATCAATGCACTTTGACTGTGTGTTTGGTCAATATCAGACTTCATAAGTTGGTAAATATCTTCTGTTTCTTCTTCTATAGCATTAGTGGTTGATGGGTATGGATATTATCCTAACACTGATAGCATTGTATTTTAGGAGCACCTTGTAATGTTCTTTTTATTCCTGTTGTTGTTGTTGTTACATGCGTGGAGTCGGTTCCAACTCATAGCGACCCTGTACCTGCCGGGAACCAGCCTCAACAAATTATTAGGGGGCTCTGGAAGGAGGATGTGGAGTGGGCAGAAACACACACACACACAGATGAGGGTCGATGGGTTGTGAGTCTTAGGCAGATGATGATGACTTCTCTTTACTTTAGGCAGATGATTTCTCTCTACTCAAAAGTTTTTTGCTTCTTATATACTGTTGTGATCAATTACAATTTTAACTAAGTGTTACGTTCTTTGTGTTCAACAAACATGCAGGTTACAAAAAAAAACCAAAAACACAGAAACATCAGAACATCCCTTTGATTTTTATTGTATCCTTTTCTTTGCATTCCCTAATTATCCCGATAACATCGGGTTTATTTCCGTAACTCTTTTTGCTTTTCTTGAATCCTCCTAAGAATGTCAAATTAACTTTTAAGCAAAGTTCTATATCTTGACTTGCATTTTTACTCTCATCTATTACTTTTTATACTTTTAATGGATTTAAGAATAAGAACATAAAAGTACCTAAAGTTTCATAGTTAAGAACAAAGCAGCAACTCCCCTATACTAAAAACTTCTAGTTAAATTTCTACCCACATTTCTACAGCTCTTAATTGCCTCTTTGCTATCTTCAGGGTACCTCAGTGTCTCTTGCTGTAGACTGAGCAGGATGTTGATTGTAAGATTGTTTCTTTCAGGTGCCTCAGTGTCTACTAAGCAGGATATAATCTTAAACTTGAAAAGCTTTTAGGTGATGTGGCTTTTCCTAATGGTGATACTTATTATTGATGTAAAAAGCAACTATTATAACTTTACATGATTAAATTTAGTGTGAGAGTGTCTAAATGTAATTTAAATTTTCACTATGATTATAGCAAATTATCAAGTGAATATATAGAAAATTGTTAAAGAACTTCTTATAATAAGATCAAAATTGAGCCATGCACAAAGGAAAAAAAAAAAGAACTGCAAGGCCTAGAGCATGAGAGTCCCCTCAGGGCTTTGTCATCCAAGGAGACACTCATTGTCGCTTTG